CATTTAAAACTTGACCTTAATTAGAAATTTCATTGGCTGGTGTGATAGGCTCAAGCGTTCGGCGCAACGATTTCTAGGATTATTTGAGGAGGCAATCGTCAGTTAGATACGTCGAACGAAATTCAACTATAAGGCAATCATTGCTTATTAAATTTTTGCCCACCCACACGATCCCAGAATTTTTTGCGCGGAGAGTCTGTACCCATTCTCCTTTTTTGTGTGTGGGGGAAATAAAGATGTTCCCCTTTATTTGGCTAAAAAGCTGCTTTTTTTCATGTAGCTCTATGTTGAGTTAACTGGCGATGAGAAACAAGAGAAAAATATTCCCAAAGATGTTCACCTGCAAATTCGCCATCTGAGTGCATCTTACTTCCGAGCAGGAGACAGCTCTATTAAAGACTATCGCCAGCCTCTGGGATCATACAGGAAAATCGAGTTTAACCGCTTTGCTACAACTGACCAAAAAAAATGTGAAGAAAGTACAGCACGTGAGTATTCTGGGTTTGAAGGTGGTATTCAGATCATTTTCAGCAGCAGCTCTGAAACTCTAGAATGGCCTACCTGTGGAGCTTCGTCAAGCAACATCACTTAACAGTCTTAAATCTCGACTTAAACCTATCTTTTTAAGAAGTATTTTTATCGTTTGTAACTTAGTTTATTTTATTCTCACGGTAATGTATTTTCGTTTTCTCTTAAATATAGGATTGTAAAGCGCTATTGATCAGAATATGTAAATACGCGCTATATAAATTGGTAAATTATTATTATTACTATTCAATTTGCAGATTACTGAATGTTAAGTCATTTTTCACTTTGCCTGCATCCAACATGTACCGCCGCCCAGTTATAAGCTGAATTGGGTAAAAGGCCGGTTTGCCGAGCGAGAGACCGCTGGTTCAAACCCTGGCCGATAAATAACTGAGGAGAAAGTGCTGCCTTTGCAAAAACATCTGCAAAAGGACAGTCAAGACTTTACAGTTCTCTCTGATAATGATGACGAACCATAGGCCCCGTCTCACGACCGTTACACATATAAAAACTGTGGGATATTAGACACGCACTCTTCGTAAAGGGTAGGGGACGTCGTCTCCAATGTGGTGGCCTCTTATAAGGGGAGGGACTGTTACGGGTCCGCAGTAATTGGCGCCACGCGCTGTTGTCTTGCCAAGAATTGGCGAACCTTAGTGTATTTTTGGTTTTTAGCTAAAGGGACTCCTTCCCTACATCCGAATCTCTGCCAAAAGCCACCTAACAAATTATATATGAGTATTGCATGGGGGAAGGTAGAGGACTAGGCTTGGACTGAGCTTGCAGCTTTTGGTTTTAAATGTCTTACATGACTTTGGTGAAAGAGTGCCTCAACTACAGCTAGGAGTAGCGTCTTTCATACGAGGATCGGTATATAAATAGAGAGATATTTCAGGGTTGAAAATCACTCTGTTAGAATAAACATTGCGATACTGTTTTTGTTTTGTTTTGTTTTCTGAACAGCAAGCACTTTCTGCCTGACCAAAGTCGACAGCCGCTGGGAACCTATGTGCAGCCACCCACTGAGTAAAAGCACGTGTCGGGACAGTCTTTTGGGACAAGAAGAGTGCAAGAGTCCTTTTGGTACATACGAACTGAAGATCCCTGTGGATAAAAATCTGGCTTGTGACAATACTGGTATAACAGACAAGAACTGCAAAGACCTGGATGTAAGTAACTTGAGTTATGATCGGAAACTTTTTAATTGAATCCTCTAGTGTTTGTTGTTGCCACTGGCCTGAAAGGGACAATGATTTAAATATGCAACTATTTTATAAATTTTCTCTTGTTTTCTTTTGTGTTTTTCTTATGCACTATTTTAGCTTACCAAGTTTACCAAGATGAATGTGTGGATGTACTATATTTACTGGTCAGACAATTACCCAACAGGACCAAAGGATCCTATTTGCAGGAGTCCACGTGACAAACGAAAACACGTTACTCTTCCTGATTTCCTTCAGCCTCTGCATAATAACGGCACTCTTTAAGGAGCAAAGTTGTCTCTGGAATGATTGAAAAGTCTGCGGTTAGATTAAAAAAAAAATAATTTATTTATCTATCGATCAATAAAGTGGCCATAGCGACAGGAAAAACTTTATTTGTTTGTCTGTTTATTTTGAATTATATTTCGTGAACCAACTTCTCTTTGGTATTGAAGGTGTGTTTTACAAAGTTCGGTCTTACCCGAACAAAGAAACATGTCGGCAAAGTTTCTTCCGTTATTTTTATCTACGCCAAACATTAGCGGACAGCACTTAGGAAAGATTGGAGCGAAGCGTTTATTCCAATACCTCTAGACGATAATTAAAGGTTAAAATCTAGCAAATGAGAGGGCTTCGACCAGCTCTTTTCTGAAATGACTGAACGAATGACTAAAGTCGATCCAAATACCAAGCTGGAAATATTTCAAAGTGTGTCACACTCGTGGCTTTAAGCTAGGTAAGTTGTAGAAGGCTTCCGTGAATGACTAGAA